TCCAGTCTTTTTTTAAACACATCCAGGGATGGTGACTCCACCACCTCCCTGGGCAGGCCATTCCAGAACTTTATCACCCTTTCTATAAAAAACTTTTTCCTAATATCCAACCCACATTTCCCCTGGTGTAGCTTAAGATGGTGTCCTCTTGTTCTGTCAGTTGCTGCCTGGAGAAAGAGACCAACCCCACCTGACCCACTTTTCAGGGAGTTGTAGAGAGTGATAAGGTCCCCCCTGAGTCTCCTTTTCTCCAGGCTAAACACCCCCAGCTCCCTCAGTCATTCCTCACAAGGGTTGTGTTCCAAGCCTTGTTGCCTTCTCTGGGTGTGCTCAAGTGTCTCAACGTCCTTCCTAAACTGAGTGGCCAGAACTGGACACAGCACTCAAGGTGTGGCCTCACCAGTGCCGAGTACAGTGGAAGAATGACCTCCCTGCTCCTGCTGGCCACGCTATTCCCGATACAGGCCAGGATGCCACTGGCCTTCTTTCCCAGGGCACACTGCTGGCTCATACTCAGCTGGCTGTCAACCAGTGCCCCCAGGTGCCTTTCTGCCTGGGCACTGTCCAGACACACTCTTACCAACCTATAATGCTGCAGGGGTTTACCGTGGCCAAAATGCAGGACTCGGCACTTGGATTTATTAGACTTCATCCTATTCGACTCTGCCCATCCATCGAATCATTCCAGGTATCTCTGCAGAGCCCCACCCTCCAACAGATTGACACACACCCCCAGCTTAGGGTCATCCACAAATTTACTAATGAAAGACTGAATCCCCTCAGCCATGTCATCAATAAAAATATTGAACAGAACTGGCCCCAGCACAAACCCCTGAGGGGCACCACCAGTGACTGGCTGCCACCTGAATGCAGTACCGTTCACCACCACCCTCTGGGTCCGGCCATCCAGCCAGTTCCTAACCCAGCAAAATGTACTCCTGTCCAAGCAATGTACTGCCAGCTTTTCTAGGAGAGTGCTATGGCAGACAGCGTCAAAGGCCTTGCTGAAGTCCAGGTACACAATATCCACAGCCTTTCCTGTATCTACCAGGCAGGTCACCTGGTCATAAAAGGAGACCAGGTTGGTCAAACACAACATATCCCTCCTAAAGCCATACTGGCTGGTCTGATACCCTGGCCATCCTGCAAGCGCTGCGTCGTGACACTCAGTATAAACTGTTCCAGAACCTTACCAGGTACTGAGGTCAGGTCCTCCTTCCCACCCTTTTTGTGAATGGGCGTCACTTTGGCCAGCTTCCAGTCATCTGGAACTTCACCAGTGAGCCAGAACTGCTGGTAAATGATGGAGAGTGGCTTTGCAGGCTCATCTGCCAGCTCCCTCATCACCCTGGGGTGGATCCCATCTAGTCCCATGGATTTATAAACATCCAAGCAGCTCAGCAATTCTTGGACTGCCTCCTCCTGGATAACAGGGAGACCATTCTGCTTCCTTACACCATCTGCCAACCCAGGAGGACAGCTGTACTGAAGACAAGACATCTTCCCACTAAAGATTGAGGCAAAGAAGGTGTGAAACACCTCCACCTTCCCCTCATCTGCAGTTACTGAGTTCCCTCTCTCATCCAATAGAGAACAAAGGTTGGTCTTACCCTTCCTATTGCTGTTAAGATATTTGTAAAAACTTTTTTTATTATCCTTTACAAAAGTTGCCAAATTAAGTTCTAAATGAGCTTTGGTCTCTCTAATTTTTTTTCAACATGCCCTAGCAACCCCCTTAAACACTTCCTGAGAGATCTGACCCTCCTTCCAAAGATGATACATCCTCTTTTTATTCCTAAATTCCTTTGAAACCTTGTTTCCTATACCGCCTGGACATTTACCTCATCAACTCATCTTTTAGTACACAGGGACAGTCTGATCCTGTGCCCTCAAGATCTCTGTTTTGAAGCATGCCCACCTTTCCTGGGCTCCTTTGTTGTTAAGGCTGCTTCCCAAGGAGTTCTCTGAATACGTCTCCTAAATAGGCCAAAGTCTGCCCTCCAGAAATCCAATGAAAAAGTCTTATTGATGTTCCTCCTGATTTCACCAAATATCAAGAACTCTATAGTTTCATGATCACTGTGCCCCAAGCAGCCTCCAACCACCACATCTCCTACCAGCCCATCTCTATTTGCAAACAACAGGTCTAACCTCATCTGGTGGGGTCGTTCACCAGCTGTGACAAAAAGTTGTCCTCCACACACTCTAGGAACTTCCTGGACTGCCTCTTTTCTGCTGTATTAAGTTCTCAGCAGATGTCTGGTAGGTTAAAGTCACCTTCAAGAACAAAGGCTGGTGATCCTGAAACATTCTCCAGCTGCTTAGAGAGTAAGTTGTCTACTTCTTCTTTTTGGTTGGGTGGACGATATCAGACTCCCAGTAGGATGTCAGCCTTGTTGGCTTTCCCCTTTATTCTTACCCATAGGCATTCAACTTCATTGTCATTATTTTCAATACTCATGGCACCAAGAGCCTCCCTAATACAAAGGGCCACCCCTCTACCTCTTATCCCTTTCCTGTCTCTTCTGAAGAGCTTCTAGCCATCCAGTGCGGCACTCCAGCTGTGAGAGTCATCCCACCATATTTCCGTGATGGCAATTACATCATAGCTCTGCTGCTGCACCATGGCCTCCAGCTCTTCTTGTTTGTTACCCATGGTGAGTGCATTGGTATGCATGCACTTCAGCTGGGCTACTGATTTCACTCCTAAATCTCCTAAAACCACACTTGGGCCTGCTTCCAGAGAGCCTAGCTGCGTCACTTTCCCCCTTCCAACTAGTTTAAAGCCCTCTCAGTGAGTTCTGCCAGTTCACAAGCCAAATCCTTCTGCCCTTAACAGAGAGATGAAGTCCATCTGGTTCCAGCAAGCCAGGTGCCTTAAAAGTTGCTCCATGATCAGAGAACCCAAAATTCTGCTGATGACACAAATCCTTGAGCCACTTGTTGGTAATGTGGGCTCTCCTATTCCTTCTTGTTGTTTGTCTCTGCCACCAAAGGGACTGACCAGAACACCACCTGTGCTCCTTCCTTATCAACCACTTGACCCAGTGCCCTAAAGTCCCTTTTAATTGTCCTGACACTCCTCTTTTTAATCTCATCATTGCCGGCCTGGAGTATCAGCAGTGGATAATAATCAGAGGGCCAAATCAGCCCAGGGAGTCTCTTGATAATATCCCATACCCAGGCCCCAGGGAGGCAGAAAATCTCTCTGTGGGATGGGTCAAGTCAACATATGGGGGCCCTCTGTTCCCCTCGGAAGGGAGTCACCCACTACGACTATACCTCTTTTCTTTTTGATGTTACAGGTGGTGATCCTTCTCACAGATGAAGCGTAACTGGGCAGATAATTTTCTTCTACATCATCTGGCTGACCCTTCTCATCCAGAGCCTTATACCGGTTCTGAAGTGGCACCTGGGTAGGTGATGGGTGTCACAAGGAATTTTAATTACCTCCCCAAGTAGGACCCATTCCCACTCCCCTTCATCCAGCAGGTGTCCTCCTATTTTCTGATGGTGGAGGCCTTCAGAAAATCAGAAAAATAAGGTGGTTCATCAAATATGCCACAGAGCCCACCCAGAGTTTGCTCTCCAGCCTCTCAGTTTGCCCTGCAGTTGGTACATCTCTGGCAGGGAGCAGTTTGACATCCCATGTGGGACAAGCTGTAATTTGTGATGTGCTAATGCACTGGGTTTGCGTGACAACTCACAGACTGGGAGTACTGGGTTGTACTGTGAGCATCATCCACATCATAACAGGGGAGACAGTCATGAAAAAGCTGAGAAACAGAGACAAAAGAGAGGAGGTTGTTGTCAAGTCAGCAGTGAAGGAATATTTCTGCATTATGGGATAGTGATGGAAGAAGAGGAATACTAGAGTGTGCTGTCTGTTCTCAGGGTCTTTTTTGGTTTGGGTTTTGTTTTGTTTCCTTTTTTTTTTTTTTAATTTGTTTTTGTTTTGTTTTATCCAAATATTTTGATCTGGGAAATAGGAAATAGAGGAATAACATCACTACCATGCTATATCATGAAGTCCATCATGTCAGCTTGCTTTTCCCCTATGGTATTTGCTCCTGTTATTTATCTCCTGTTTGAGCTGAGCTCTACTAGCAGGGCTGAAGACTTGTAGGTGGCTTGTTGTTTAAGGAACTTTGGTGGAACATGAAGAGAAAACATGGATTCAAATCCTCCCAGCAAACCAAGATGCTGGGAATATGACCCTGTTCTAGAGACATCTCAGCATCTAATGCCAGGGGAAAGTCCCAAGTCTACCTGTTCTTAGTATGACAATTATTTATGATTTTAGTCAGTGCACTTTCTTTAGTCAGGGTTAGAAATCAATCCTTGGATGAGAGAGAATCATTAGAGCAAATCAAAGGATGAAACTATGAACAAAATCAGGGACATTTTAAATACCAATAAACGAGTACATCTCATTTTCAGTCAGTTCAGGTTATGTCTGGAGACCCCATGGCTCATTGGAAAGCTCTTTCTGAATAAACCCGGACTATTTATTGTTTTGAAACAGCTCTGTTGGTGAGCACCTTGAGCTCAGGATGATGTACCTATATTAAGGCATCATAGATGTCCACCCAGACCTCGGTGCAAAAATTGCTGATGGTACTGTGACCTGTGGCTGTCATCATCACAAAGAATTCATGTTACACATTATGAAGTGACATGACAAAGTATTTATTCAGTTGTCATTGTGTTATTGCACACTGTACAATGGCAGATGGGCATTCTCAGCAAAACATGATCTGTTCTTACCTTATAAGCCTTTTCAACATTCATTATTAACTTCAGAGTGCTGAACAGTAAGATATAGGTGAGGATTTGCTAAATAAACATTAATACTCAAACTGTATCAGTTACAGTCCTTTATCTAAACACAGCCACAAACTGCATTGGGCTGGAGAACACTCATGAGAAATCTATACATCAATGATATGCATCTATAGAATAATTAACACAGTAAATTAGCCCAGGGAGAGGAGATTTACCTCTTCTTCTTCCAGTCCAGTTAGATCCCAGAAGTAACTCAATCTCATCTGCAAACGCTTCCATTGTTCAAGGAACATGGTAGCTTTAAAAGAAATTAAACAATTTAAAAAATGATAAATCCAAAGCCTTGTGGTAAACATTTGTGTTACTTATAAGCTTCAACGTATATTTGAATCCTGTTATGCTAGACCCTTTAAAATTAAGAACTAAGAAATAGCCTCAGGCCCAATTTTAACAAAGAATTCAAGCAAAGCAGTGGGACAATAATTACTACCTTTTAAAAATAAAATACAGAAAGATGGAACATGGGTTGTCCAGAGCCACTGTTAAGGTCTTGTCAGGGAATGGAACTGAGCCCATAACTGTGAATATCCATGGACGACATCATCTCTCCTAATTCAGCATGAAGCATTCTGAGGTAGGTTTAGCCTGCTACTGAAATAACTAGGATCCCTAGGAAGATGTAGAAAGAGATATTTTGAAATATATTACATGTAATATATTTCAATGTAAAAATGCTTTTTACTGTCAAAGACGGTGATTTTGCCCTAAAGGGCTGGCCTCTGGTTCAGCCTTCTGCCTCTCCTTTTTTTAATAATAAGAAGGAACAGATATTTTCATCTTGTCCCATATTTACATATTTTTCTCCTGGCTGTCCTCTCATAATTGATGTTAACTCAGTATAGCCCTTTTCCTAGTTGCTCCTAATTTATGGACTTACAGATGTATTAGAAAAAAGCACTTCTATATCTTGGGTTGTGGACAGGTATTTTCAGATAACAATAACAATATCAATGCTAAACTGGTACCTGCCAACTAAAAACACCAAAACTCTACCAATAAAGCTGTACCTATAAAACCTGGGGCACTGTTTTTCATTTTCTTATGCTTCACCTCACTTCTTCAGTGGGTGAAAAGGGTATTGTAAAAACACTGTTAGATCACAGCAGTGTTTATATCACTTTGAACATCCTGTAGATAACCCCACAAGTCAGACAACAGTGGAGAATCCAATCAGCTTCTCTTGACTGCATCTACACTGTCAGATAACACTGAGAAAAGTGGGAACTCTGTGAAAATAACCTGGCTCTTATAAGTCATTATCTATCCCAACAGTTAGCTGCAAATATTTTCTTCACAGGTATCATCCCATTATATAAGAAATAAATATCATTTAAAGACAGGACTGGCAGCACACTGAAAGCAAATCCAGACATTAAGCAATGAAGTTGCTATCTGTGTTCATCCCTTTTAGAAGAGAGAACATATAAAAGCTTTGTTTAGCATGGTTTGAAAACTCAAGGGTTTTTAGATATCCTAAAAACAAAAACATTTGGTTATTTTCTAGGGTGCTATTACTCATTCCATTCTTTTCTGTAATACAAAAGCTCAGTTCAACATTTAGCTCTATAAAAACATACTTGGCTTGATGCAGCAGCTGCTCTGAAATCAGCACGTCTGAGCTGACTTACACCAGCAGAAAAACTAAACTGACAGAGAGCAGGTTTGGATTGGATATTGGAAAGAAATTCTTCCTTGTGAGGATGGTGAGGCCCTGGCACAAGTTTCCCAGAGAAGCTGTGGCTGCCCCATCCCTGGAAGTGTCCAAGGCCAGGCTGGATGGGGCTCCGAGCAACCTGGGATAGTGGAAGGTGTCCCTGTCCATGGCAGGGCAGCTGGAACTGAATGAGGTTTAAGGTCCCTTCCAACCCATTTGGGTGATTTGTGATTCTGTAAAATTTCTAATTAGGGCATCTGACACTGAAATTTACACCAGAACACCAGTGACATCAAGCCCAGTCAGCCAGGCATTACTCTGAATATGGACATTTGCAGCAGGACTGCTAGAATCACAAAGATACTTCATGAGGAATCAGGATCAGCCACTTAAAGCATGATTCCTTTGGAGATATTAACCATAGGAAGCCTTCTGCTTTCTAAAGAATGGGAGAAGACAAGTGAGACAAATGAATTCCTGTGCCCAACACCCTCACGAAATTAAGCCGCCCCAGATCACCACAGTTTGCTCTTTTAACTATACAGCTGGAATGAGTGTGTGAGTGAGCTCTGCCATTAAACAGATTGAGCTCTAGCTATAGCCAGCACAGCCTCTAATAGTAGGGCAGCAAAATTTGATGTAATGTAATACTTAATATGAAAGCTGGGCAGAGTTAGTAAAGACTCCATTATTTTGCTTTGTTGCTTTTTGTGTGTGCCAGCTGTATTTTCTTGAACTGACAAGCTCAGTTATCATAGTCCCAAGAACAGACTTTTCTAGTCTGTGGGAAACATTTTTTGGAGGAGGGCTACAGCTCTGAAAGAATTTTGTTATTTTTATATGCCTTTTTTTAAAAGCAATGCATATGGAACTTTTCATCCTGTTCTGTTCCATAACAGATTCCACTAATTTGTCTGAGTGCAAGGATATATCAACATTTTCTTTTGCACCTTGCATTGCTGATACTAAAATACAATTTTTATGGATGAGGTTCCGTGGCAATTGCCATTTGCATGGATGCCAGTTTACAGTAGAGTTTCTTTGTCAGGAAAATTGTATTTTATTTATCTTAAGCTTCACAGCAGCAGGTGACACTTAATCTGCCAGTCTACCCTGTAATCTGAAGTAGTATAATGAATTCTTCTGAGAGTCTATAAATAATCCTCTTTTTTTCTATTTCTCAGTCATAATTCTCTCTAATGTTTGCTCTAGGGCTTCCAGGAACTGGTAAATAAATGCTTCTTGCTTCCATGTGATCTGTTCTGTCTGCAAATTCCTTAAAAACCTTCTGCTGTCCTCACCCAATGCCAAGTCACCAATCAGACCTTTCTCAAACAAGCAGTAAAATCTTAATAGGCTTGCAAAGAATAACACACTGGCTGCAGAGGGATGGCTATAACAGAATAACATATTTTCTCAGTTTCATATTAAGAATGATAATCTCATTTTGGGAACAATGAATAGGGAAATAAAAAAATCAATTTACAGTAGCAATAACACGTTTAACTTTACAATAAACAAGCTGTAGAGTAAAGGAGAGCATAACACCAGCAAAAATTCATGCAAGCACAGTACACATGCTTTCCAGGGCAGAGGTGAGGTCAGAAAAATAGGAGTAATACTACAATGCATTCATTCATGCTTATGAAGTGTTTTGATATCCTCATGGAGACAGGGATATTTGCCATTAAAGAAAACAAAGCTTGTTGAAATGGAATATTCTAAAATATATTATAATTTAAATGATAGTGGCCCCATTGCTCTTGGAATCCCATAAAATTTTGATAAAATTATGTGACTGAATTGTCCCACAAGAAAGTGGGACCATGACTAAATTAGACCCTTTCAGCTGTTTGCACCATACTAATCCTCAAATACATTCTGGTCCCAAATGCAGAAGGTATTAAATGGGTGTGATATGTTGATGGAAAATGAAGAAAAATTAGCAAATACATGGCAAATTAAGTTTTTTAATTAAATTTAGAAGTGCCATTAACAGTGTAATGTCCTCTGTGGAGAAAATGGCCTCAGAATATGCCAGGGAAGGTTCAGGTTGGACTTCAAGAAGAATTTCTTCCCATTGTCATTAGAAGGGGCTGCCCAGGGAGGTGATGGAGTCACCATCCCTGGAGATGTTTAATAAACAACTGAACATGGCACTCAGTGCTCTGGTTTAGTTGACAAGGTGAAGATCAGTCATAGGCTGAACTTGACGATCTTTTAGATCTTTTCCAGACTTGATAACTCTGTGATTCTAAACATGACAGCAGAGGAAGAAAAAGCATTTTTTCTTCTCTGAACTACACAACTCCATTTGTTCCAGGGCTTTCTGTTGATAGTGATATTTCTTTCCCCAGTCTCAATACAGACAGCTCTCCCTGGACTTCTGAGGATTGCCAGCTTCCAAAAGCTATAGGGATCCCATTCAATCAAACAACACTTTGTTATGCCGTGAAAAGTCCAAATAGCTTGCAAAGCAATACTTACCCCAGAGAGCCATAAAGATGGAGAAGAAAACTGTGGCAGGGTTGTCAAACAAGTGACTCGCTCGAGCAGTGGCACAGGCAGAGCTGAGGTTCCAGTAATCACAGAACTTGTCACACAGGGGGCACATGGTGAAGGCATTGCGTTGGTCACACATCTCTTTGCTGTGACAGACAAGGGCACAGGTTCCTCTGAGTATCCCAGCTCAGAAACTGTGGATGTGCAGTACTGATATCGAGCAGCACATCACAGCTACTACAAGCTGTCTGCAATATCTGTGGCCTGCCCTTGCAGAGAGCAGGAACTGTGTGTTTCTTCAAGGTTCATTGCCATGGATAGTAATTTTTTAAACACTTATAGGCACCTTGCCAACAGGAAAATGATGCAACACTCAACCAGACTGATCAATGCACTGTATTAGTGAGTTAAGGAAGACAACATCACTGAAGACAAGGTTAAGCACACTAAAAAACCAAAATTCAAACACAAAAGTGGAGTTTGCATCTCTGCAGTCAAGTTATGTGATTTGATACAGATCAGATTTAAAACACTGAAAAAAAAAGACTGAAGTGGTGTCAAAAGAAATTCAGTGCTGTTGTCAAAATATGCATTTTTTTATATGGTGGCACAAAAATATGAGAGAAAAGATTTTTTACAGACTTTAAGATCTTTACTTTTAAGATCTTTACTATCATTTAAACTCTGTCTTGTTTGCTATGTATGTATTCAGTTTCTAAAACTCTTTGAAAAAAACATTATCATTATCACTTTAACAGGCCAAACACTTCTCGTCAGGGCTGGGAATGCTTTCAGTACTTTCCATGACGTTTGGATGTGAAAGCCTTTCATACCTGCACAGTCTCACTTAGGTGAACTGAGTAGTGCAAAGTTCAAATGTCCTTGCCAGGATCATGAGCTGAGTTGGCACATTATTTCAGTGATAGCTGGCATACGGTGATTATGATTGTTCCTATATGGACCCTCCTGAAATAGGTTTTTCCTTATGACTTCAAATTAAAAAAAAGGACTATTCAAGCTCTATTATGAATATGTTTATATTATATAGTTTGAAAAGCATGCAGCTGTTTCCAGGTCTCATGTTGTTACAGTAATTCTCTATTTCAAAAGGCAGCAGAGGGTGCTGCAGATACATCTCAGCCATAAATCTCATTGGATTTTAAATGTTAGTACAAGCTTTCACCGTGACAAGCACCAAGATTTATTCAGATCAAGCTAAGAAAACAGACCCTGCCTCAGATGTGGGGCTGTTCATCATTTACCTATCAGTAACCTTTTCCTACTGCAGTGATTTTAAAAGCTTACAGTTCAGGGACTGTCATGAGTGTGATCAGCATACAAGTACTGCAGTATCTTGTCTCCAGCAGAAGTCAGACACAGATCAGACACAGATTTTTTTTTTTTTTTTCCCACTGGGAAGCAGACATTAACATCACGGTATCACTTTGGCAGTCTTTGTGTAGTATATTGCCCTCAGGACACACAAAACTCAACATTATTTTGTGTCTAGAAGGGGAATACTGTGAAGACCAAATATAGAATCATAGAATGGGTTGAGTTGGAAAGGACCTTAAAGATCATCTAGTTCCAACTGCCCTGCCATGTGCAAGGGTACCTCCTACTATCCCAGGTTGCTCAGAGCCCCATCCAACCTGGCCTGGAACACTGCCAGGGATGGGGCAGCCACAGCTGCTCTGGCCAACCTATGCCAGGGCCTCACCACCCTCACAGGAACAATTTCTTCCCAATATCCAATCTAAACCTGCTCTCTGTCAGTGTGAAGCCATTACCCCTTGTCCTGTCACTCCAGGCCCCTGTCAAGTCGCTCTCCCTCTTTCCTGTGGGCTCCCTGCAGGCACTGGAAGAAGGCCACAGTGAGGTCACCTCAAAGCCTTCTCTTCTCCAGGCTGAACAATCCCAATTCCCTCAGCCTTTCCTCCCAGCAGAGCTGCTCCATCCCTCTGATCCCCTTGGTGTCCCTGCTCTGGCCTGGCTCCAGCAGCTCCCTGTGCTTCCTGTGCTGGGCCCAGGGCTGGATACAGCTCTGCAGGGGGGGCTCAGCAGAGAGGGGCAAAGAGACAGAAGCACATCCCTTGATCTGCTGGCATTTGCTAAGTCTTGTACTATTGTTCATCTTACTTGTACAAATGGTCTGATTTTAATGGGAATCAAGTGTTTCAAGAGTCATGGACAGTGTTGGCATTAATTTCGGTGAGTTTCATACAACAACTTTCTGATTGAGCAGTGAGCTATGTGTACTCATAAAAAGCAAATTAATATCTTAGAAAACAAACTCAATACAGTGGACTCACTATCTATTTCTGTTTCAGGAAGTGAGACACTGACCAATCAAATAAATATGTGCCCTTCGAATAGCTTTTCAATGCCTCTGTGTTTTTTTCATGCTCGCAGGGTTGGTAATTATACATCACCGCTCTTCAGACGACTAAAACCAGTTATTCTCACTACAGATTAATAAGAAAAAGCACAGTCTTATAATTTTCAAATAACAAACAATGGATCACAGATAAGCTTACCTAGGAATGTCACTTTCGATGGTTATACATCCATACAGAAATACAATAATCCCAACTACTGAAGATGGAATAAGGAATTCTGTGTATAAACCCAGCCATGCAAAATAAAGTCCTATCTTTTCTCCAAAATACTTCCTGAAAAAGAGGAAAAAAAAGAAAAAGAAAAAGCACATGCCAAGGATATAATTTTAAAATGTGTTTTACAGCTACTAAACAGACCCAGAAAGTTAAAATACGAATTGTGAAAGACATGAATGAAAACCCTGTGGATCTTGAAGACAATAGGATCAATGAAGGGGATGATTCAGGCATTTGGCAATTTGGGCTTCTCTGTTTTGAGAAGTTAAAGATGGTCCTGGTACATTCTCCTGAGCTGAAATTAAGCAGGTATCACTGCAATACATAATATCTGTTCAGAGAAAACTGTAGTGGTCTTTGCATCTCTTAAAAGAAGTCAGTGAAATAGGAAAAAACATTGGAAAATACTTAATGCCTTAGAGGAGCACATTAATTTTTTTCCTCTGTTGTACTCCTGGATTCTGTTAGTGAGAGTCATAGAAATAACATCTATGGGACCATACTGACAATATCCTCTAGTATCTTAAAAGATGACTAATCTGGAACTGCTGCTAAAGGAGGAAAGTTTACTTGCACACTTAGCACTGGCTTTTCAGAAAGAATAATTTTGTCAGGTTAACAGCCCCTGGACAGGTGGTTAGAAAAAACAGTGTCTGCTCTGAAGAACAGCCCACTGCAGATGTTGATAAATAACTGGTAGAACTCAGCCCAGCATCTTCATGAATCACACTGCAAGAAGTAAACTAAGCATGGATGACCCTCACTGATCATTCTAATGTACAGTTAGGAGTGATTACAAATATTGCAAAACCCAAAGACCTTCATAGAACTCAAGAATTCACCAAAATTTAGATAAAACATAACAAGGTTAAAAACATTTCACAAGCCAGAGAAGATGATGGACAGTGTTGTACAGAAAGCAGTTACAAAGACAGCACTCAGGGTATGGCATGGAGTGTGAGTCAGTGAGACATTTACACTTTGACAGCAGCAAAAATTACAATAAATTCATTATATTGTGTCTAATAAAAGAAAGAAAACCTCCTCATAAAGGTTGAGCACAATCCCAGTCCGAGATTTATTCTGATGCCATTTACCTTAGGAAAGTTTTATCCAAGTTCAGCACCCCAGATTTGCATCATTCCTACTGAAAATGCTTAAATGAGATTTTTGGAGGCCCAAACTGAAATCTTCTACTCCAGAAGTTGGGTCTAAGGGCCAGACATGCCACAGGAGAGACAGAGCAGGAGTGCAATCATGGCAGAGAACCAAGGGACAGCAAGAAAAGACTTCACAGTCACTTCCATCTCAGAAGAGGTGGATAAGGGAAGCAACAGTGAGGGATTTTTATTACTACTGATCCTGCTGTTGTTCTCACACCATCACAGCTGCAGCTAACTCCACACTTCCAGGCTCTCCCATGGAAAACTGGCAGTGCAATCCTGCCTATTTCAGTTTTGCCTTCTTTGAGTGCCTCTATTTCTCATGTCCAACCAAACTTGCTTATGCTTTAGAACAGTCCTTAAGGGGAAAGCACAACAAAAGCATTTTAAGGAGATATACAGACAACATTATCTTCAGTATGAGGGGATGTCATCCAGAACTTGTGAAATTTCACGAATCTTCAAGGAAAAGAGTACAGCCTCTACACCTGATACTGCAAGGTACCCTAAGCCACAAACTGTATGAATTATCAAACAGCACAAGTGAAATCATCACAGCATGGCTTGAATGGCACTAAGTTAAGATTTGAAGCACCTTGGGACAATGGATGTAAAGAGAATACAAGGAAATATTATATGATATATCATATTTTATGAAATTATATATTTTATGAAATGATAAAAATTTGTGGCAAATAGAAGCCATATACTGTGGGACTGCCCTCTTACCTGGCACATGCCAGGTAAGTTTGGTGATAATTATAAGAAGCTTTCCTTTATTTTCACATTTGAAAATAAATATATAGTTTTAATATACCTGTTTGTTAGTATACTATGTTGTTATTATAACTTGTTTAACACACACATTTTAATCCACTTTTTTTAATATGAACTGAGAGAAGGAATAATTGATTTAAATATAGAACTAACCAGAAGGCCTAAAGGTTTTCTTCAAGCCTCTTGTGTGAGTCAACTTACAGCAGCAATGGTGTTGGAACAGCACAGGATACAGGGAAGATCCATTTGCTCTCAAGTTTCCTCCTGACTGGGAAGTGACAACCTTAAATTTGACACTAAAGCAGGAAAAGGAGGACCAGAGGGAGATTATCCTGATTATATCTTCTTACTGCTTCCCTGTTTGTAGAAATGGGGAATGCGCACAGCTAGTAAAGTGTTTCAAATAGGTCAGAGCAGGCACAAAAAAATCGTCCAAAGTTGTTCAAAACTCTCTGTTCTTTTGACAAAGGACCATAGATTGGTACAGAAAGAGTTCAAATGCCAGCAGCAGTAAAGAGTAGCTGATCAGGGTCATGAAAGTTGAAGTTTATGGCTCAAGAGGCTTCCCCTTAAATTTTTAAGCCTTCCAGTGAGAAATGTGACCTGTAACCTATAAAGGGAAGTGTTGCTATTTGTATCCATGCGAAAAGAAAGTGAAAAGAGCTCAACAATGTCCTGGCAGTATGGAATAAAAAATGCAGTTGCTAAGAAGAAAACTGTACTGTGTTTTGTGACTTAACTGTTTTGAAAAATGAAAATAATTAAGATGCTCTGCCCAAGCTCAGTCCACCAATGTGCCAGAAAGTGAAATAATCTAAGGAGAAGAAATGACAGAGCTTGGAAACATAATGAACAACTTAGATGTGAGCTTATCAAGTCAGAAGAACACAGGAAACTGACATGTCTTTTCTGTGACACATTCCAAGAACTCTTTGGTTCCTCTGAATAGCAGTGAAGGTGCGCAAACACCTGTGACCCCCTGTATCAACATCTACTGCTGCTGGATTCAGTAGTAAATGAACAGAGGAGGAAAAAAATGTGCTTCAAGGGTAGAGGATGATGTAAGGCAAGAAAAAGTATTTTTAGAAGTTTTTACACATTTACACCAAGAACTTGGCATGTTCCCTCATTTACATTGGGATAAAACCAGTCTGATTTATTATCCTACAGGAATTATCTACGATTTAAGCTGGCATGTCAAAAGAGGAGAATTGAGACCAGAGTCTTGCCCTACCTCAGTAGCTAATTCCCATATGCCTCACATATATCCAGGCAAAGCTAAAGTGTGTGCTCATGGATACTGTAGAATGTCACAAAAAGTGTGCCCCTGGCACAAAGGGAAATGCCCCTTTATATACACATATTCCATGGAGGCAGGGGTTATCCCCAAACTAAAGGGCAAATGGCTTTGATAAAGAATGTGTAGTGCTCCTATCAAGGCTTTTCTTATGTATGTTGACATATCATAAGATGAAATTTTGTGCTTCTCATTTTAGAAGACTTTATAAAGGCTGGTTAAATGACCACCTACCAAGTACTGAGTTCTCATGAACAAGAATCACGTCTTTAAGGAAAGATTTGGTCAAATTACCCATAACTCCTGAACAAACTGAACAAAAGCTGCTCTTCCAGCAGATTATCAGAAACAGCATTAAAAAACTCCCAACAGCAACAGCAACAACAACCACCTGTAGAAAGTGTATTCCCTCCCAGAATTAGAAGTGTTGAGAAGACCACAGCAGAAACATTGGCTCGGTTCCCTCTGCTTTACCCATATAACACTTAAATCAGACATCTGCAATGCACTTTTGTCTGTCTGGCTGCAAAACCAACATCAAACAGAATAACTGATTATTAAACCCTCTGCTCAAACGTTGGCCATAGTGCTCCCATGCCAAGTTGTGCAATTTATAAATAGACTAAGGTTTGGGGAAGCGGGGGAGAAAGAGAGAAGGAAAAAACCCTTCAGTTTTGATTCTGTGAAAACAAGTGTGGGTACCTGGAATGTGAATAAAGCGTGTGGTGCGTGACACACGCTGGAAAGAACTCTGGAGACGTTCAGGAACAAAGCTAAAAAAGCAAGGAAAAGGCATTGTGGACATTGAGTCACCTAACCAGGAAATCGGTGCAGAACTCTTCAGTTTTTAAATTTCCACAGCCCACTTTAGGCCAGCTGTTACTTCATGTCTCCATTTCATTCCACCAGCCTTTTGGTGGAGAAGGCATTTAGATGCAATAGTTTCTATGCAAAACAAAACTGATTTACAGCTGCCTCTTGGGTAGGTTTCCCCTGTGCAAATGGTCACACATACATCTAATGCCTTCAAATAAACTTATTTGCACAGTTTGGCGGTGAAATTCTGGTGTTTCTGCTGTTGGGGAAGAGGACAAGCAGTTTAGTTTCATGTCAGAACACCTTTACTGCCAAGGCTAGTTTAAAACATTTTCCCCGTCCAGGTCCATGTTCCATCTCTGACCTGCAGCAACAGCCCCCAGGAACACAATTTATTCTTTCAGCACTTTTGCAACCAGAAGAAAATGAACCATTATGCTGCAGGTAGAACTATGACTACCCTTAGAAAGTGAGAAGCAATTTCTAGCACATGGTAAGTTAAAAACAGAGATATTTCATTTGATTCTGAGATAATAGTTCCCACCATCCAAAGTTTCCATCTCAAAACTGCAGAGTTCTTTCAGAAAGACTGCTGGAGTATATAGAAAGCCCCAGTCACTACAAGACAATCAGGAATACTGCCGAACACCCCAAGATTTCACTCCAGGTGGAGCTGCCTATGTTGAAACTTTTCTGGATTTGCCATTCTTTCTTCGCTTGAAAATTTTCTCAGGGCAAGATTCAAGCATTTATTACAACCATCTGGGACACCTGGGTGGAATTACTGCTCAGCAGCAGCACTGAGGCTGCTGTGCATTCAGAGATCGTGGAGATTTCCACCAGGGTTGTGCCTGACAGCACATATTCCATCCAAGGATTCTCAAGAAGGAACATATCAGTGCTAAATCCAGATACTCAGAGAGTGCACCAAATGGAGCAATATGGAAGCCAAGAAAAGATCCTGGCAGAAGACAATCCCCCTTGGAACAACATGCCAAGGGACT